CAAAGGCAGCGTTGGAAAGGGGGGCAGCGTCGGTAAAAGAAACAGTGCTGGTGGGGGGGGCTATGTTGCTGACAAAAAGCAGCGATGATAACAAAGGCAGCGTTGGTAAAGAAGACAGCGTTGGTGAAAGAAACAGCTCTGTTGAGGAAAATAGCATCGATGGAGGAGCTGAGCGAAATATAGGGGGGGGGGGGGCATCCGGAAAAGGCTCCGGCCACGGCGCACACAGCCAGCCCCCCGATTCGCCTAATCCGAGAAGGAGCCCTGTTTGAATTCCCCAGTTCTAAAGGATGGCAATCGCTAGTCAATACAGTCGCTGCAAGCTCACCACGTTGTAAAGATTGTAAGAACAGGGTTGAAAAACCCCACAGCTGCTGGAGCCGCCGTAAAGCGCTTTCAATCGCCTCCGCCTCCGCCACCACCATAAAGCCGCCGCTCCCGCCGCCGAGAACGCCAAGCCACGCCGGAGAATCCGAGGCCCCAGACCGACGAAAGGCATCGGCTCCCCTCCGCTTTTGGTTCGCACGCGTCCCCCGAATCTCCATCATCCTGGGGGACCTTCTCAAAAGCGGTAAAAAGCCGGTCCCAAGAGCTCCCAGCGCTTTTTCGCCAGATCGTCTAAAGCGGAAAAGCCCTGGCCGCCATCCGATTCTTCGCACATGCACAGAGCAGAGGGACGTTTTCTTTTGCTATCAATTAGACTGAGATTTAATTGAACAAGTGAATTTCTGAACCATAACTTTCTTAATCATTAGAAATCTAATCCCACTGAAGAGCTTTCCAAAGCTAACTAAACAGACCTCCCCTTTAAAAAGGATTTTTAGAAAGGATTAGAAGGTTGAGATAATGGAGATATTATTACTGTTAGATCCTGTTTTCTTACTATGGAAAATACTGAAGAACAGCTGAAAACATGAAATATCAAGCAAGAATTCAAATCTTAACAAACCCGCATGTGTGTTTTTATGCGCATGCAAAGTTTTTTTGAATAGTGTGAAACACTAATACTAATTACTGCTTCATTAGTTATTAAATTTATGTGCCACCCATCTCCTTGATAGGTAACTTCATGCATGTCATCTGCAATATTTATATTTAACTGATTTTTCTGACATTTATTCATTCTGTTTCAAGATATGATAGCTGTTGGCTGTGAGCTGAGTGGTGTCTACTATACCAATGGCCAACATTTCCATCCGTCTCCTCTCTTTTCATGCCTGTGTGTGAATGGTGCAATTGGATGCACACCGGTATTCATCCCAAAGTCAGCATCAAATGACTGTGCTTTGCTGAAGGACAAAAAGAAAGTTGGACCTTCCAAATGTGCTTCAGGGCATTTGGAAGAACAGCGATCAAGACATCATCGAATAATGTCAGGTATACAAGATTGGACCAATGAAATATTGTAGGCCCATGATGGCGAACCTATGGCACGCGTGCCACAGGTGGCACACGGAGCGATTTGTCAGGGCACGTGAGGCATTGCCCTGTCAGCTGGCCAGCGTGCATGCGTGCGCTGGCCCACTGACTTCGGCCTTCAGCCTTCTTTTGAGGTTTGAAATTTAATAAAATTTGTATGCTGCCCAATCCCACGGGACTCTGGGCGGCTTACAGAGCAGGATAAAAAGCATTTAAAAATTAAGAATAAAAATACAGTTGTTAAAATTACACATCAACCATTCTGTCTAACCGGAACCACCTGCCCACCTGCCGGAACAGCCAGGTTCTAGGGCCTCCTCTGGAGTGCGAAAAAACGACCTTAGGGGCAACCGGAAGTTCAGGAATGTACTTCTGGTTCACTTGTATGGCTGGTTTTAGCCCTCTGGAACGTTCAGGAGGATTCCTGAAGGCCTCTGAAGGCTCCGGAGGATGAAAAACGCCCCTGAGTCCATTCCCAAACTTCCCGTTTGCCCGTAGGGCTAGGTTTTTGCACTCCGAAGGCTTCAGGGAATTTCCTGAAGCCTCTGGAGGGCCTCCGGGAGGGTGGGGGAGGCTGTTTTCACCCTCCCCAGGCTCCTATTAAGCCTCTGGAGCCTGGGTAGAGTGAAAAAAAATCATGCTAAAAACAGGGGGTGGAGAGCTGGCCGTGCGTGCATGGACGCTGGGGTTGTGTGCATAGCATTGTGGGTATGGCACGCCCACACACATTCCCCCCACTTTTGGCACGCAAGCCAAAAAAGGTTCACCATCACTGTTATAGGCGCTAAAAAAAGAGAGAACAGAAGACATGCTGCCTTATTAACAAAAGCTAATAAGTATTTTAATTTATTTGTTAAATTTTGTTACCACCTATCTTTTCCATAGGGCTGCTCTTTGTTTTTAACCCAGAAGCAACAAAATTTGAAAGCAGAGCTGACCACTCCACATTTGCCAGATATCCAAGAATATTCTACTTCCCTGATAAAATTAATATTCATTCCAAATCACACACGACTGCTAAAGTTTCAGGATATTATGGCATTATCATGAGATCTTGCATGATTTCTGCAATCTCATGTAAAATATCTACCTTGAGAAATTGGCTTTCTTTGCGGGGGGCAGGCAATGCCTGGCTCACTGCATGGTGTCAAACTCAGGGCCAGAAAAGCTGATGTCCATTTTGACCTTGTTGGGAAACTCCACTTTTCAATTTGTGGTTCAAGGATACCACTTGCCATGATATAAAAAAGATGTTGTGACTCTAGAAAGAGCGCAGAGAAGAGCAACAAAGATGATTGGAGCACTGGAGGCTAAACACTGGAAGTTTTAAAAAAGAGATTGGATAGGGATTTGTCTGAAATGGTATAGGCTTTCCTGCCTAAGCAGAGGGTTGAACTAGAAGATCTCCAAGGTCTCTTCCAAGTCTGTTATTTTAATTCTAATTCAATCCTTTTCTCACACCTGACAGATTAGGATAAATAAGCAATTGTGGAAATGCCTCAAATTCTAAAAATTCCATTATACTTCAAGCAGTTTACCACTTTTATGCTATAAATGCATGGTTTGCATGCAATGTTATAAATACCAGTAATTGTTTTCAGAGTTGTTTATTTTGCCAGATGCAAAGCTTTACTGGAATGTCTGCTATCTTCCTTGCTTTCCTCATTTACTGTCCTAGTTAACAAGTCCCATAGTAAAGGCAATGGAATTATTTTATATACAATAAATCGAAATACACTATCTGTTAAAATATACAGCTTTGTAATCTTGCTTTATTTATTTCAGATCTGTGCCAGGTTTTTACTTTGCTTCCTGCACTGAGATTTTAAGCTGCTGTTTACTTCCCAGGTATCCTGGCTCTTCTGCTATGTCCCTTGCGCTGTGCACTTTTTATATCTGGTCAGTCATCCTCTGAAACTGCATCAGGATTTGCTAATGGAGACTTTAAAAAACAGTTTAACACAGAGAACTGTTAGTGCTTCAAATTTGTAAGGTCATTCATCTTGAAGAAAATCAAATTCTTATAGAATTAAGTTCAAGAGTAGGACAGAAACATAACATGTTCCAAGTTTCAGGGGACTGAGGTATCAAAGTCCCATAAAATGTCATAAAATTTGAAGAGGCACACATCCATTGGCCAATTCTGCAAAAACCTTAACCTCATGAACAGTGGACTTTTAAAAATCATTTTCATCATATTTTATCTTATCATATTATGGTTTGCTCACTGAGCCCTGATTGGAGGTATCATTCAGTATTTTTAGCTTTTAGATTAAAATGTTAAAAAATTAATATATTTCTGCCTTTTAGCTTTCAGAAACGTTCCTCTTGTTTTGAAAAAGAAATGCCTGATTCAAACATCCCCATGGACACCTTGCTCCCGAACTTGTGGTATTGGCATCTCTGACAGGGTGACCAACGGAAACAGTAAATGTGAAATGAGGAAGGAAAAGAGACTGTGTTATATTCAACCCTGCCAAGCAAATTTTACAAAGATTCTGAAGGTAAATTGTGATACCCAAACTGCCTCCTTACTCAGAGAGCAAATGCTTAATGAACAAGGATTTAAAAAGAAATACAGTACATGGATGATTGTGTTGCTATCATTTTGCCCTTCAGTTGAGTTATGGGCTAGGAAATAGTAGGGCTGAGGAACAGGAGTCACGATTAATAGCTCATTCATTATAATTCTGTGGCCCTTTTCCTACATTGCTTTTAAATCTATTAATTACTTCTATTTAAGAATTTGTTGCCTTCTCTGTTTTAGTGATTGCTGAATAAGCATTTTACATCAGTTACATGAGTTCTTGTGCTTGCAGCTCCAGCTCAGAACTGGGAGGAACTTTAGCTATCATTAAATTTATAACAGATTATCTTGAAATATATAGCCCCCCTCTGTCCCCAAACACATCCATTATAAATTTACTTGATCAAATTATGTAAGGGCATTTAAAAAGCTGCCTACTTACTTATGGGATGCGGTGGCTCAGTGGCTAAGACACTGAACTTTTCGATCAGAAAGATCGGCAGTTCAGCAGTTTGAATCCCTAGCGCCGCGTAACCGAGTGAGCTCCCATTACTTATCCTAGCAGTTCAAAAGCATGTAACAATGCACATAGAAAAATAGGAACCACCTTTGGTGGGAAGGTAACAGCGTTCCATGCGTCTCCGGCTTTGTCATGCCAGCCATATGATCCCAGATATGTCTTCGGACACTGCTGGCTCTTCAGCTTTGTAACAGAGATGAGCACCGCTCCCTAGAATTGGAAACAACTAGCACATATGTGAGGGTAACCTTTACTTTTAAGTTCTACTATGTATGTAATATGCATTTGACCATAATTTCAACTGTATTCTGTGTTTATTTTTGAGATTCCAAAAGGAAAAACATGTCGCCCCACATTTCAGCTTGCTAAAGCTGAGAAACTAGTCTTCTCTGGATGCACAAGTAGACAAATATACAAACCTATGTTTTGTGGAATCTGCCTGGATAAGAGATGCTGCATACCAAATAAATCTGTAATGATTACAGTACAGTTTGATTGCCCTGAAGAAGTACCCGTCAAATGGAAGATGATGTGGATTACATCTTGTGTTTGTCAGAAGATATGCAATGATCCAGGAGACTTGTTTTCTGAACTCAGGCTTTTATAAGAAAGGTGTGGGAAGAAAGTACCTCCGTTTCCTTTTTTGCCATGAAAAAAGTGGCCAAGTCCATACTGGATGCTGAATTACCCAGCATATAAAATATTAACCAAAAATTACTTTAAAATATTTTTGAATGCCTTGAAACTGTAGTAACAAAAATAAATTTAGCACTATTACAGTCACTCTGAGCAAGAAGTAAACAACTAGTGGAATACTTTGCTGGTTTCAACTAGAGTGTTGATTTCAATACAACTTCTGAATATAATAAAACAGATTTACTTCAATGTGCTTATATGCTTGAGAAAAATGTCTTCATGCAGCTGGATGGACCCATTTTATGTTATAGATTTGGCTTGCTCGTTACAACTTTCAAAAATGCATGTTTCTGGAGTGGGTAGGTATCTTTTTCAAAGTATGTTCATCATAACATGATTCAAAATATCTTCCACCTTTTATAACTCAACATGGCTATATAATTAACTTTTGCATTTAGCAGTAACTCCCCAAATCTCAGTCAACAGCATAGCAAAACTATTTATAGAAATAGAATTTTATTTTTCTCTCAACCTGCTCTATAACTGCTGTTTTTGTTACACTTTCTACCCAACCATCAATAGAAACAGGAAGGATCCTGGTCTGCAATAGATTATCACAATGTTTCATTTTCAAGAACACACAGAAAGATGTATCTCATTCAAAGCCAGACTTTTGAAAGACTGCATTTCACTTGGCTCTGAATCAGAGTAACAGGCAGTGAAACTAGCAGTATGCATGCCTAAATCTCAGTTAAACTGGAGTAGCTGACAGAATGTGATATAAGGAACTGGGTTTTAGACGAGACAGCTTTTACTTCATATTGGGATTACAGTGAACCTCATAGGTGAATAGAACAGTCATCAACTATGCACAGGTAATAATTTCAAATTCAACACAAGGGATTTTTTAAACATTTATTAAAATATTAATAAAAATATCACAAGAAATATTTATATTCAAAATGTGCTCATTTCCAAAAATATACATACAAAAATAAACAGTGCTTAAGATAAAAGTGCATTTCATAATATGTAAGTTGCGATTTGCATTATCCAATCTCCGTACAGCCTCTGTGCAAGATAAAAAAATATTTTACAAAACTGTTCGGCAGACTGAATGTTTCCACTGTCTTTCAAGTGTAACAGTGCTTCTGGTTGTCCCAAAAGATAGTTTGTTAAGAATTTATCAGCCAGAACTAGCCTTACATTTTTCCAACTGAATTCAATACTTACCATATTGACTGCATGTGCATTTTTTTTGCAAATATTGAATTGTTTCCTGCTATGTCCCCGCATTGCTATATCATTATCTTTAGCCTTGGTGGATCTACTGCAGGGCCACTGTTAGCAGCTTCAAGCTGATTATAGTCCTCTATTAAATTTGACAGTGATGAAAGTGCTTCAGAGAAACAGTTCTGATCCATCCCATCAACTTGTAGGTAATGATGAAGGTGAGCCTGCAGAAACAAGTATTAATTTCAGTCATGCATACTTTATTGGGATAAATATTCCACATAAATGCAATTGTTCTCCTAAAATTGAAAAGAAAACAGAACGTATGACCACTTATGGTAGAAAATCAGTGTGGTTTTTTTTAAAAAATCTAGGCTATCATGTCACTTGCACCCCCTCTCCAACCACTCTCTCTCTCTGTCTTTTTTGTGTTCCCTTTCTCTCCCATTCTCGTTACATAACTTTGCACAGCAGTCAACTGGCCATTTACCTTCAAATATATTACAACCTTACTATACAGTTTGTAAACAGGGAAGCCAACTAAGAGGACTAGTTTTTTTGATAGAGGATTTCCTAATATTGAGAATTATGCAAATGCAAATGAAGTACTTAAAATAGTTGCATGACTTTTTCATTTTAGGGCATACCTTTTTCTTGTACAACTTCATGAATCTCTCTTTGAGTTCAATGAAAGTTGGTTTAATGCATGTGTTATTTGCCAGTGCCAACAAAGAATGGGAATGGCCAACTGGAGGTACTGAACATAAACCAGTTTTCCATCCTTCTTGATTCCAGGATACAAACTGAAGTGAAGGCTTCAACCTGCAACCAGAAAATTAGGGCTTGAAAAATAGCAAGCAGTAGTACTACATTATGCTTCATAATTGAACTATAATTCCAGACAATAAAGTCAGATTGTGATTGACAAGGTTAGACGTGCATATCTCAAGGGTGCCTAGCTGGAGAAGATGCCATTACACAAAACAAAGTTAGTGGCAGATTTAACTATTTCCAATGATATTTAAATGATGTTCACAGCACTAGTATGCAATAAAGACCTTCTAACTATCCTTTTAATTTAACTATTTCCAATGATATTTAAATGGATGTTCACAGCACTAGTATGCAATAAAGACCTTCTAACTATCCTTTTAATGGAAGTGTGTTGAAAAGCCTATGCCAAAAATTGATGTTAAATCTGAGTTTTACATTCTGTGTGCTAGTTTTTAAACACATTCAATTTTGATGGGATGCCTAAAAGATCTTGAGAACAGAGGAGGCAGTAAGAGTCTTAAGGGGGAAAACAATTTTATTACAAAAGAGACTCTTGAGTCCATGGAGGTGGTGGGGAAACATGAGGAAAAAGAATGGGCCTGTCTTAATACAGCAGGTGTAAGTTCTATAGGACAATGACTCTGTAGGCTGTATGATTCTTACATAGTCCTAGCAATAAATATCTTTCTAGAAATCCAAGTGCCTCTTGTTTTCTGAGTTGGCCAGCCTTGTAGGGCTTGGTATATTTATAAAGATATTCACATTACGTGTACATCAAATTCTATGTTAGAGAAAATGTAAGATTAAATTACCAAATGTTTCTGTATTCTCATAAATTAATCATTTACAACATAGGCATAAGTGACATTAAAAAGAGATCACACTAAGTTGTCCTTTTGAAAAAGCAGTTAATAATTCTTGAGAACATATATTTTAGTACAAACCGTTCAATATTTCTACGAAGATCTGAAACCTGTACATTTCCTCTGACTAAGAGGGCACAAGCAAGGTACAAATTATGTTTTGGATCAGCTCGTAACAGCTGGTGTTCTTTGCTAAAAGCATCAGAAAACATTTGATCCAACCTAAAAAACAGAGGAATTGTTTAACAGTATTAAGAATATATGCCAAGTAAGATAAATATGCATTTTGTATATATTCTGGTTGCAAGCTTTTAGAAACTATACTGTAGTTACAAATAGTAAGAATATATTTGTGAATTTTATTTCCTATAGTACCCCCCTTCCCGAAAGGTCAGGTACAAGTTCTATGGCATCTCAAAAAACAATATAATCTTCCTGAAAAAGAAAAGAAAATCAGATTTATTCACAGATTCTGACAATACAGCAGTCTGAAAAAAAGCAATATGGATTCTGGTCAAGTGAACAGAAAGCCTCATGTCTCCCAAAGAGATGTAGTTAAATACAATCCTTAGGTCAGAAAGGTCCTAGGTTTTAATTATATATTACCTGAAATAATGAAAATGAATTCTTCCCTTTTTAGCTTCCTTATTTACAAACATCAATCAAACCGATCACATCACAAAGGTTTGAGAACTAGCAATAATAGTATCAATATACAAAAGGATAACACGAAAGATAAGCCAGCTGCTTATCTTCTCAGTGCAGTTGGCAAATAATGTGTCAGAGGCTTAAAACTATAAGAATGGATGGAAATGGAAAGCATAACTGAAGATGAACAAGCAGCTGACACAAGGCCAAGCATTATTTTTTCCTTTTAATTATATTTTATTTAGACTGCTGATCATTGATCCAAAGAAATATCATTTTTTCCTATTGATGTTACAAAGCAGATTCATTTTCAAGTTAGTATACAGTTGTCATTTTACATGTAAAAACAAAGCAGCCAAGAGTTGGGAGTCTTCAAAGCACAATACTATTTTTGACAAGTTACCCTTCTAGGAACAATGTTGAATAAAAATACTCACCGTCGCAAAGGCACGTTAACATCAGCCAGAGTATAAAGAGGAGTCAAGCTGGAAACTAGATAATGAAGTCGAGGAAAGGGAACCAAGTTCATGCTGATTTCATTAAGATCCATATTAAGAGATCCTTCAAATCTAGCAGAGCTGAAAATAACATAAGATACCACTTTATAATGCCTTGGTAAGGCCACACTTGGAATACTGCATTCAGTTTTGGTCGCCACGATGTAGAAAAGATGTGGAGACTCTAGAAAGAGTGCAGAGAAGAGCAACGAAGAGGATTAGGGGACTGGAA